TCACGACGAGATCACTGACGATTTAATTCAAATGGGAATTCACAATTTTCGGGATTGAGAATGAATTATCCTTTGGGGAGATTTATTCCGTGATCAGCGAGTTGAAGAATCCAGAGATAACGTCGTGCATTCGTAAACAGTGGTAAAATGATGATAATCTTGTGCTGAACGTGAAAAACAAATTCTAATCACATAGTTATTATATTTTATGGTAGAGCGTAAGTCTTCTTCGTCATGCAGATATACACGGATAAATTTCATTTTTGGTTTTTTCGTTATTTATTACTCATACCCACCAAGTTCCTCGTCCTGTCAGAGGTAGCCCCTCGATGATGATAATAATGTCGGGGGAGAGACGATTATTTAACGTATACATTTATTTTGTAACTATAGTACAGTCTCACACGCATGATTCCCTTCGTATCCGTTCGATTAGTAGCTCTCCTCTCACTTTTTAATTATTTCTCAGACTATTTGTCTCACAGCTCTCACGGCTTTCGCACAGCAAAACAAAATGATCATTCATAGAGTAAGAAATAATGATTTTGATGAGGTGGATGGATAGTGTAGCTTTAATTACACAATTTCACAATCAGTTTTTGGAGAATATATCGAAACTCAATTCAAGGAATTAATCGATTTTATTCGATCATTTGTTTAATTAAATCTTGACGTCTAATGAGCACTTGCCATACACATGGTCTCATCGAGTACAAAGTGGACGATTCAATCTGAATGAATCAGTGGATGTTTCGTAAGATCAAGGAGAGATCGTAACAATTGCAATATTTCGTTTTTTATGTATTTATATATAAGGTTTACATATTTATGGATATATCTTCATTCTTCTTGTTATGTTTGAAAATGTTGCCCTACTTCAACGAAGTTTTGGCAAGTACTTGAAGCATGGGTGATGAATACAGTGGGCAAGGGGTGAAACAGTTCAAGTTGAGGGTTTCATACAGAAAATAGAACTGAAGGCTTTAGTCGCGAATATCTCTGGAACGAGTGGATTTAGGAGATAATGTCTCTAGACCCTTTTTGCAGGTCATGAGTTTCTCTACAAAAAATGTCTTGTGACATTTTCCTCTGAATCTGCTCGTTAACGAGATTATTGCGGATTTATCCAGGCATAATATCTAAACCTGAACAATTGTACTCTTTTGGTTTATCTTACTTCGCCAATATCTTTGCAACGAATGGGTTTAGAGAAAAATGTCTTCAGAACTTTTTGTAGGTCTTGAAATTTTCCATAAAAAATGTCTTCTGACATTTTCCCCTGGATTCACTCGTCAACGAGGTAATTACGGCTTCATCCGGACGTGATATGTGAATCTAAACAGTTTTATCACTTCCCCACTGTAAGTACCCTTCATTTATTCACGGAAGCATTCGAATCTGTCAACAATTATCGAGAAAAATCTTCGTCGAAGCAGTACGTGGCTATCACAGCATGGCATTGTTAACGTCTGTCAAGTGCTTGTTGTTCTCTTAATTCGAGCTACTCGCCGATTACAAAAGAATTCAACGTAATTAATCAATAAATCGATCAAACTCATCACTCGATAGTTTCAATGCTTAATCAAACTAATAATAAATTGATGAGAGAAAAAAAAAACACGCAAGACTCTCTTCCTCGTGGAAAGAACACCGTGTGACCAGCAAGGTAATTTTCTAACATTTAACATCATGATAATTCGTCGATAAAATCTCTTATCACTATTTCGCAATTCTTTCTTCATCAGAATCAACTGGTAGGGAGTGACAGCTATGAATATTCAATAAATTAGTTTAATGTCCCTGATTAAAAATTAAAAAACAAAAACATTTTCTCCAATTTTGTAAAGTACGAATTGCAGAATTTTAGTATTTTCATTTCATGGTGAATAAAAAAATTCTTTCGTCGGAGTATATGGTTCGAGGGTAATTGATAATATGAATTGGTAAAAAAAATCTGGAGAAATGGGTACCAGAAGAGTAAAACATAACATCTGGATTAATAAAAAATATTATTTCCAGTTTTCTAAAGTACGAATTGGAGATTTCATTATTTTCACTTCATGATGAATAAAAGAAATTAATTCGTGGAATTTTTGGGTGGTTTATCTCAGTAAATGGATCAAGGATAATTGATAAGATGGATTGATGAAAAAAAATCTGGAGAAATCGATACCAGAAAGAATAAAACATCATTTGAATTGAAACAAGCATTTGTTCCAATTTTGTAGAATACGAATTGCAAATTTCATTGATTTCACTTCATGATAAATAAAAAAATTGAATTCGTGGATTTTTTGGGTGTTTTATATCAGGAAATGGATCAAGGAGAATTGATAACGTGAATTGATAAAAAAATCTTGAGACATCATTATCAGAAAAAAAAACATAACATTTCAATTAAAACCAACATTCGTTCCAATTTTGTAAAATACGAATTACAGAATTTCATTATTTTCATTTCATGATAAATAAAAAATTTGAGTGTTTCGTCTCAATAAATAGACTGATAACAAAAATTAGGAGAAATCGATACCAGAAAAAAATAAAACATAACATTTGAATTGAAACCAACATTTGTTCCAATTTTTTCAAATCCGAATTCCTGAATTTCGTTATTTTCACTTCATGATAAATAAAAAATTGAATTCGTGGACTTTTTGACTGTTTCATCTCAGTAAATGTATCACGGATAATCGATAACACGAATTGACAAAAAACCACGAGAAATCGTTACCAGAAAAAATAAAACATAACATCAGAATTTAAAAAACTGTACAAAAAGTCGGAAAGCTGTCGATTTTAATATACACGAATGAGGATGAATGAAAATGACAAAAAAAAATCACTGAATAATTTAAAAACCCGCGATTGGCCCCCCTCATTTTCACTTTTCTTAAAAATTCAATTTATTACACAATTTTCACTAAAAAAGAAAAAACTCTCAAACACATCAATAAAATCCAAAACTCGTCTCATATAATTTTCCCGTATAATAATCGTATCACCTCGTCAACAAAAATTATAAAAGCCCCTCGTCGACGTGAATTTAGAAATATAATAAAATATAATTTTTTTTTTCGCACACTGTATAAAGTACTCTCACTTTCTCTCGTTTTCTCTTCTCTCAATTAATTCTCCGTCTTGTGAGACAGCGAGAAAATGTTCCCTCCATTAACAAATTATCGCTTATCGTAGAGGTTTGATATCGCTTCACATGATCATCTCGGTTTATTCAGAGATACTAGAACAATCAAATTCCATTGAGACATTGATTACCTCTGAGTTCTCACTATTTTCTTGTTCGTCCTTTCACGAAGGATTTAATTGCAGGGGAAAATCATCTTGATGGAGAATATTTTTTGGTTTTTCGAGGGGAATATTCTCGACCAAGACATTTTTCACATTTTCTTCAATCACACAGCAACCGAAACAGTGGATTCCATGTACTGTACATACATGCAGTTATTTTTTATGTTTGACATTGATTGAGGATCGTTATGCGAGATATCTTTCACTTAAGATACTGTCTCGTCCCCTGGGATTGCCTGTGTGGATTGCTCCCACGGATTAATTAATGAATTAATTAATTCTTTGAAAGTTGATTCGGTGGTGGAGTGGAAAAAATGTTGGATCAAGTTTTTTGGTGAATTCAGGGGAGATATCGAAATTTTTTGAAGAAATTTTTTGTATATTCTTTGGCTTGGCCTTTAACTGCAGAAAAATTATTGTAAGAATTTTGATGTTTCCCTAGGGTTCATCGATTTTTATTAAGAAATGATTTCAGAACAAAGTGTCACTGAAAAGGGATTTGGATATCTCGGCTGTTAAGGCAAATATCGAAAATATTATTCTATTTTTTTGTAATCTTTGATTTCTAGGCAAAAATGCATTGTGAAAAATGTTCCTCAAGGTTTGGAGATGTTCATCAAGATATTATTCTAAGTATTCGTTTATGATAAATATCTCTAAATTTGAGAGATGTCAAAATTTGTATTTAAATATTTTTTGTAATTCTTGTTTTTCTGTATAAAAAAGCGTTATATGAATTTCTTCATCTTCTTCAAGGTTTAGAGATATTCGTCAAGAACATCTCAATGTAGAGTTCACCAAAAAATGATTTGCAAATTAAATTTTCAATGAATATCTTTCAATTTGGGGAAGACAGCAAAAATTGTAGTAAAACTTTTTTTTGTAGTGCTTATTTCTCTTTAAAAAAAAATCCCCATGAAAATTTTCCTACTTCCCTTCAATGCCAACACATTTTGAAATTAAAAATATCTAAGAGAAATGAAAATTCAACTACAAAGTCATTTTTAAGTTTAGTTTTTCGTAAATAACAAATTCTCATTTAAATACTTTTTTCTAAAATCTTATAACGCTTTTCTGCACAGAGAATGCCTTATAATAATTTCCTTACATTCCTCAAGGTTTGGAAATTTTCACTAGTAAAATCTCAAAGTAGAAATCACAAAAAAAAATGAATTTGAAAGTCAATTTTCGACGAATATCTGTCAATCTAGCAAAGATACCAAAATTTTCAATGAAACCTTTGTTGTAATCCTTATTTCTCCGAAAAAAAATCCCCATAAAAATTTTCCTATTTCCCTTCGACTCCAATACATTTTGAAATAAAAAAAATTCTAAAATCTAAAAACTAATTTTTAAGTTTAGTTTTTCATAAATATCGCAATCCTCACTTAAACATTTCTAATAAACCTTGATATTCTGTACAGAAAAAGCCTCATAAAACTGTCTCCATCTCCTTTAATCCTCATAAATAATCATCAACAAAACCTAAAAATTTAATTCCCAAAAAACTAATTTCACATTTACTTTACCATAAATATTTCCCAATCAAAGACCGAAAAAACTCATTCAGTCCCAAAAAATCCTCCCAAAAATCTCCGAAACTCCTTTGAATCCGAAATGACTCCCCAAAAAACTCCACCACTTCCCCACATCGCCGAATCCCCTCCCGCCCCCCCAAAATCCACTCTAAGACCAAGACACCATCAATACGTATAATCCTCCCAACTCCATCAAGCAGAGCAGACTTATCACTTCTCTCCTAAGAATCTTTCCCATCGAAAAACCCCTCCCTCAATATCTCCCTCATCCTCCCCCCCATCGACGTGCAATTGTCAGAAAATTAAAAAAGTGAGCTGTATTTACACGATTCACTGTAACGAGTCTCATTTCCTCAATAAAAAAAAACGATCCTACAATGATTAACATTACCCATCGACTATACTGAATACACAGAGGTTCTGAATGTAGTATTTTCCTGGGTGACACACAATACATATATTATATGTATAATAAAACATGTGAGAACTCAAGACTCCTCACAAGTAGATTAAATAATCCTTTATGCACCTGTTCTGTTAATTCGGGCGTATATGATACGTCTCGTCGATAAAAATATGTAAAAGACTGAGTTTCATCCGTGAAATCCCCCAGTATTGAACATATATACACAAGCATATATGAGTTTGATGTGTTTTATGTACATAAATGTCTTGCTTTTCTCAAGTTTCCGATGGAAAATGAAAATTCTCTGCTGCACATTGTGAGAAAAACTGAGATTATTTGTTTTTTTTTTTTTTGATAATTGCGAACCACTCGTCGTGTGGCTCCAGGCATTCGAAAATGCTGACTTTCATTCGCATTATCTTCTCTTTTGGGACTGGGAAATTTAATTTCCCCCAATTAGGACATTGAGGAGCAGGGGAGACGTGGTGAGCCCATTTGCGTGAGAACACGATCGAGCCACTGGAGGGGACCATTTAAATGCAACTCGATCCAACAGGGGGTCGAGGTGACTGTTTGGCGGCGGTACTCGGCACCCCAGCCCTTCACAAAACTCATCCTGATGGTGCACATTCTGGTGAGCTGGTAGACAGCCTCGAAACCCTGGGAGACTGACTGGGAGAGGAGGGCAGCGAACTCTTGGTTGTTGAAGATCTTGAGGTTGCAGCCTGGGGAGAAGACATTTTTTGTTAAAAAATTTTTATTTTATAATTAATGAAGAATATATTCGACTTGATTTCAAAATTGAATTATTAATTCTGTCATTATCGTGATGAAGAGGGATTTAATGACGAAATATCCAAAGATTGTTTTTATAATTTGGAAATTGCTCAGAGAATTTCCAGGAATTTTCCTTTAAATTTCTCATAAATAAACGAATATTGCAGACATTTAATTTGTTTAAATAATTCCTTGAACTGTGCATTATTGAGATTATTTTATAATTAACAAAGGATATATTCTACTTGATTTCAAAGTTTAATCATTAATTCTTTGGTTGGAGGGATTTTATGACAAAATATGAAGGGATCTTGATAGCTCAGAAAATGATCTACAACAATTGCAGACATTCTGCTTCATTTTTCCGAAAACATTACAATATAAGAAAATCTTCCTCATTAGTCAGATTAGAGAGTAATCCAAGAGTAATTTTACAACGAAATATCAAAAAATTATTTTTCTAGTTTAGAAATTTTCGAGGATTTGCAGAAACTTTCCTTTAAATTTCTCATAAAACCGATAATTCAGATTGGAGCAAACAGAGCCCCTGCATTTTCTCAATCCAATATTCTAATTGTTGTTTATCCATCCCATAGAATTCTAAGGCAATTACCTGAAACACTGAATTAACTCACCTGGTGGTATTTTACAAACAGTAGCGGGATGCCAACCGTAACGCTGATTACAGTTTGGACTCTGTACGAAGATGCTGGAGTCTGACTGGCACTCGGCAAAAACTTCACCACCGATGTAGTACAGTCTTACACCTTTACCGATGTGCCGTCTTGTCTGCTCTACCACGGTGTTTCGATTAACGTTTGACAGTAGGCCGAGACAAAAGCGCTCGGAATTACTTGGATCCGTAAAACCATCCACCGTTATGCTTGGCTGGGAGGCGTGAAATGTCTCGCCCACCCTCGTGTTCAGTTCGTAATAACTTATTGAACACCTGGAAATTATTCATCCAAAGATGTATTAATTCAAAATGCATTTCAAGTACAAACGAGTAAGAATCTCGTTACCGAGTGGATGCAGGGAAAAATGTGAGAAGACATTTTTTGTGGAGAATTTCAAGACCTGCAAAAAAGGCCTGGAGAAATTTTTCTCTACACCCATTCGTTGCAGAGATATTGGCGAAGTAAGATAAACCAAAAGAGTAAGATTGTTCAGGTTTAGATATTATGCCCGGATAAATCCGCAATAATCTCGATAACGAGTGGATTCAGAGGAAAATGTCAGAAGACATTTTTTGTAGAGAATCTCATGACCTGCGAAAAAGGTCTAGAGACATTACCTCCTAAATCCACTCCTTCCAGAGATATTCGCGAAATAAAGCCTTCAGTTCGATTTTCTGTATGAAACCCTCAACTTGAACTGTTTCACCCCTTGCCCACTGTATTCATCCCCCATGCTTCAAGTACTCGCCAAAATTTCGTTGAAGTAGGGCAACATTTTCAAACATAACAAGAAGAATGAAGATATATCCATAAATATGTAAACCTTATATATAAATACATAAAAAATGAAATATTGCAATTGTTACGATCTCTCCTTGATCTTACGAAACATCCACTGATTCATTCAGATTGAATCGTCCACTTTGTACTCGATGAGACCATGTGTATGACAAGTGTTCATTAGACGTCAAAATTTAATTAACCAAATAATCGAATAAAATCGATTAATTCCTTGAATTAAGTTTCGATATATTCTCAAAAAACAGACTGTGAAATTGTGTAATTAAAGCTACACTATCCATCCACCTCATCAAAATCATTATCTCTTACTCTAAGAACAATCATTTTGTTTTGCTGTGCGAAAGGCGTGAGAGCTGTGAGACAAATAGTCTGAGAAATAATTAAAAAGTGAGAGGACAGCTGCAAATCGAACGGATACGAAGGGAATAATGCGTGCGAGACTGTGCTATAGTTACAAAATAAATGTATACGTTAAATAATCGTCTCTCCCCCGAGATGATTCTCGGGATTTAATTTAAACAAATGACCGAGAAATATCTATTATTAGAAATAAATGAAAACAGACATTTATTACGATAAAAATGCTCTCCCAAAACTCACCAGAAAGCAGGTTCACAATACATGACTGGCTGAGCATCAACAGGACTAGGTGACAATCGTGATAACGACATATTGTCATTATGATCCATATTGTCCCCATCCTCACTGATGTAACCAGGTGGTGGTGTGTCAGCTGGTGGATCCATGGAGCCTGGTGCTGGATGCGGTGAACCCTGCACACTACCCAGACTCCCTACACTGGCTGGACTCGTTGCTTGCATACTCTGCATACCCTGATAAAGATTATTTGGCTGCTGTTGCTGAGGTGACTGTGGTATACTCTGCTGATTATTGTGGCGGTGATTCAGCGTTGCGTGGAAACTCGTGTTCTCCGGTACACTGACACTCAACTCCTCCAACGATGTGTTGTAGAGCACTGACTCGTCACCCGATAGATTGTGACGGGGCACGAGAATCGCCGGCAATACTTGAGGAAAACATGGTCAAGACGTGGAGGATTAATCAACGGATTTTTTGCTAATTGCACGTGTGTAACAACGTTTTTCTTCAATTTTTCGCTTATGAATGGATGGAACTGAATCTTTTTTTTCAAGTGGAGGTACTGTTGAGCTCTATCAATCGTCATTAATTAAAAATTGATTTAACGATTAGTTTTTGAATTTTTCATGAATTTCCCTGAAAGTGAGCATTCTGATGGTTTCTTCAAATGTCATGTTTCAAAATCATTCAAGTATGTATAAATAAAATTTTTCTATTAACATTATAGCGAAGAGCTGAGGGGAGAGATAGAACTGTAAAAAAGACAATCGGTTGTACAGAAGAAAGGGATAATGAGAATAATGATGACGATAACATTCAACTAAGTTGAAAATATGACAAAATTAGTTGAAAAGAAATCTTATTCAATTTAATAAAATGAAATAATGTGCAAAATAACCAAATCGTAAGCATAATGCTAATTTATTAACAAAAATAACTATAGTAAGTGTAATACAAGAGCAATTTCCCACTTGTTTTTGTTTGTGAGAAATAAAATGTGGAGTGATTCTGTCAAGATTAGAGGACAAAGAATCATCTAGGAGGAACTGATTTTTCAAAGAATTCCCTGGGAAAAACTGATCTTTAATTCATGTCGTTCGATTTCACTAAGAAATTGTAATTTTGTTTTTTGTGAATATCTCCAGATCGCCTAGAGGTGGAAAAATTTTTGATAATATCTTTTTTGTGGAGAAAAGTGAGAGCCACAAAAAAGTTATGAACGAAAATTTCGCCATCTCCTTTAGATTTGGAGATATTATCAAAAAACTGATCTATTCTTAAATCAATTTTCCCACTTTCTCACCTGGTGTTTGAATTCTCTGATAATGATAAGGATTAACGCAGACCTCGTCTCTCTTCTGTGTGAACGAGTACTCGCAGTGCTCGATAGCCCGCAGCTCGTGGTGAGACTGCAGATCTGGCCAGCGCCAGAGACGACAGTAAATAACGTGGGGCAATCCCTTGCCCCTCACACCCTGCACACCGTTGTCACCAACACCACCGGGACTAGGCCTGAAAGAACAAATCGAGAATTAGCCCTTCGAGCTCCAGTAGATACTCAACTTCCTCCGCTTATCTCGGAGGAACTCGTGTTTATCAACGAATGAATGATGTTTATCTCGTTTAAGATTTCACTGATATGAAATTTTTTATTCCTGAAGAATTCTACCGATGTGTGAAGAGGGAAATAAAGAGCTCCGGTGAAAGAATGAGAGGAGGAAATGTTGGAAATCATATCAACCAATATTCCATTACATTTTTTTCCTTTAGAACTAACGATTTTCGAGATGAACAGAGATTTGACAAATTTCATGTGAAGAGTTGAACATCCTCTCGATTCCTTCCTCACAAAACTCGAAAAATCTCGAAAACTAGTCGATTTATCAAAGAATGTCTAGGAAGCTTTTTTGTAGCCCATAAAATTCTCCACAAAAAGTTCCCGTGAAGTTTTCGTCTACATCCACAAGTTTAAAAGATATCAAATGTTTTCTGAAGATATGAAAACTATTTTTTTTAAAGGCCGATAGTTGTTGTTTTTCCACTTTTGCCAAGTCTTTAATCATTTCCGGAAATTTCAGATCCAAAAAAGTATATCAAAGTATTTCGTCATCCAAAAAAAAAATCCCATAACATCTTCCCCGTGAACAAACGTCTTCAACAGTTCTCAAGAATAACGAAGATCGCGCAAAAGTAATATCTGAAAATTCTTCATTCAATTCTTTCCCTACAAAACTCGAAAAATCTCATCAATTGTTATCCGAATTAAAAAATACCAGAGAACCTTTTTTGTAGCCCATAAAATTCTCCACAAAAAGTTCCTGTGAAGTTTTCCTCTAAACCTGCAAATTCAAAAGATATCAAACATTTTCTGAAGCCACAAAAACGATCTTTTTAAAGAAAACAATAGCTTTTGTTTTTACTCTTTTATCAAGTCTTTAATCATCTCCGGAAATTCCCGACCCGAAAAAGTATATCAAAGTATTTAGTCATCCAAAAAAATCTTCTAACATCTTCTCCTTGAACGAACGGTTCTCAAGAATAACGAAGATCGCGTAAAAGTAATATCTGGAAATTCTTCATTCGATTCTTTCCCTACAAAACTCGAAAAATCTCAACAACTGTTATCCGAATTCAAAAACACCAAAGGACCTGTTTTGTAGCCCATAAAATTCTCCACAAAAAGTTCCTGTGAAGTTTTCCTCTAAACCCGCAAGTTCAAAAGATATCAAACGTTTTCTAGAACCACAAAAACGATCTTTTTAAAGAAACCAATAGCTTTTGTTTTTCCTCTTTTATCAAGTCTTTAATCATCTCCGGAAATTCCCGACCCGAAAAAGTATATCAAAGTATTTCATCATCAAAAAAAAATTCCCACAACAACCAACAGCTCTCAAGAAGAACGAAGATTGCGCAACAGTAATATCAAGAATTTAAAAATTCTTCCTCCCATTCTTTCCCCACAAAACTCAAAAAATCTCAAAAACCATTAATCGCATCAAAAAACCCCAGAGGACTTTTTTGTAGCCCCCAAAATTCCCCACAAAAAATCCTTATGAAGTTTTCCCCCTGCCCCCCTGCCTCAAGAGATATCCCCAGTTTCCTCACCCCAAAAAGCGCAATTCTTCCCACATCCAATATTCCTCTCTCAAATCACAATATTCTCCACTTACTGTCGTCAACGGGATATTATTATTTACTCCCCACCAAGATGACTCACACCTCATCAAAAACTATTTTCTTATATTCCCCCACAACAATCAATTGATGTATCACACCACTGTAATTCAACTCTAATGATCCATCAACAGATTTCTTTCACAACATTGTACGAGCACAACCCGGAGAATTGAAATGAATAAAAGTGAGAGTCTTCTCAGTCCAGAGTTCTCTCACTCCTGAATAAAAAAAAAATAGAAAAAAAAACACATCAAGGAGAATCCACAGTCACTTTATAATCGAGACACAAGACTCGAGGAAATTGTTACTCTGTATGGGTAGCACTGTGGTTCGATTTCCTCAATTCCATGTTGTTAACCACTAATATAACGTTTCCATTAATTCACGAGGACTGGAGTCTATCCGTGTACATCGGCCACTCGGTGCCACAATGAGTGAAACCATAGGCTAAACCAGCCGAGTTATACTCTTTCAATTGCAATCGCATGATAGTATGCGATATCTGTTATATAATACCTTTGCGGAGGTTTTTTTTCTATTGCGATCTTAGTTTTTGAGGAAAACGCGGGAGCCTCAGAAGGGGGCAGAGAGGGGGAGGAGTGATAAGGTCGAGTTGGCGATTGTGAAATTGTCGATAATTTTGTTATTATTATTTTGGAATTGACGGGAGATTGCTGAGTGAAGAGAAATTGGATGGAAGAAAATTGATGAACTATTCGTTTGATAAATTCAATTTTTTTGCTTCCGAATGGAAGGTTTGTAGTCGTTTAAATTTAAGTTTTGGATTTTTTGTGTTATATCGACTCAGTTTTTAGATCTCGTATGTAACAAAGTTTTTCTTCAATTGTTCGCTAATGAATGGATGGAATTGAATCTTTTTTTTTACAATGTAGGTATTGTTGAGGTCTACCAATCGCCATTCATTAAAATTTTATTCATCGATTGGTTTTCTGATTTTCTAATTTTTTCGAAGATCGGTTGTCCCACGATAACTAAAAAAAAATGTTCTGAATTGATTAAATGATGGCTTAAAAAATTGGTTTGAATGTCGTTTTGACCGAGTTCGGAGACGAAGGCGATAGCAATAATCGTTATTTTGATTTATTTGAAAATTTGCAAAAATTTTGTATTTTTTGAAAATCAGAATTCATCAGAAATCTCATGAGAGTGACATTGAACTGGATTTAGGGAAAAAATGGTTATGAAATTTTAAATTTTAAGTAGAATTCGCAGAAATTGGTAAAAAACCTATCAATCAACTTATAAATTTACAATAAAACAGAAAAGATGATGTAAAAATTAATATTGTTTATCAAATTCACAAAAGAAAAACCCTCGACTCATCTTATCTCTCCTCACCGTTTGTCAATAATTAAGGTTTACTGATCTTAATTGAAATTTGAAAAATAATCAAATAACTGATAATTTAAATTTTAATTGCCCGTGAATTGAGAAATTGACAATTGAGCAAATAATTATAAATTCCATAAAATGATTTTTTCGATTACCCATATAATCGTCAATCTTACAATCAATTCGGAATATTTAATTAATGATTGATTTAATAATTTCAAAAATTGTTGGGTAATATTTATCAATTAACTAATCCAAAATCCAAGTTAATTTAAAATTGATGATTGCACCGATATCAGCTCGAGAAATTTTTAAAAAAAACCTCTCAACCAACTCATAAATTTACAAAGAAAAAAAAACTATGTAAAAATTAATATTGTTTATCAAATTCACAAAAGAAAAATCCTCAGTTTATCTTATCTCTCCTCACCCTTCGTCAACAATTAAAGTATACCGATCTTAATTGAAATTTGAAAAATAATAAAATAATTGACAATTTAAATTTCTAATTGAATCAAGTACTTGATGATTGACTTAATAATTTGAAAATGGTTGAGTAACATTTACCAATTAACTAACCCAAGATTCAAGTTAATTTAAAATTGATGATTGCACCGATATCAGCTCGACAGATTGGTGAAAAACCTGGCAATCATTTCATGAATTAACAATAAAAAAAAGAAAAAACGATGTAAAAATTAATATTGTTAATGAAATTCACAAAAGAAAACCCCTCAATTCATCTCTCCTCAACCTTTGTCACCAGTATGAGCACCAGCCGTACGAAAAACCGGTTTAAAAATCGCGGTAGGTCAGTTATCTCGTGCTCGATAAATACGAGAACCCAAACCCGTGTCCCAGGCACGTTCAGTACCTCCGGGGGTACAAGGGCCCCCAGAGACGAGAGGAGGGCGAGAGGACAGTGTAACGGGCGCCGTTACACGCGCCTTCTCGGTACAACTCGAATGCTATTTCCACACGACACCTCGAAAATTGCACCGAGAATATTGAAACAGACGGCGAAATAAAAAAATTAATAAATACCATACAAATGCATCCATAAACTCTCACCCCATGAGCATGCAAATGCCACACATGCAAACATTCTGTACTGTATATCAATTAATCGTTATTGTCGGGAGGAGGTGCACGCCGCGACAGAACATAATCGATTACTGTCTGCTGGGGAAATGAAACTCGTGGGATGAAACATGAAATTATGGATTATTAAGTGGGAATATTTCTGATGATTTTTTGCTACGAAGAAATAATGCATCACATTTTTGTAGGTGCAATAATATTCACGGTATTACCTTCAGTGCTCGAATATTAATAATGCACGGAGAGAAATATTCAATAGAAATTACGTTTTGTTTCGTAATTCCGGAGCGAAATGTGGTTGTAGGAAATTTTACGGAACTGTCACGGAATTTTTCCAGAGCCTTCCGTAATTCTTATCTGAATCTCCTGTGACAAATTACGATACCGTCACTTAAATTTCTCGAGTCGATTCCGTACACGAGAAATATTTAATAAGAATTATGTTTTTTTTTTCGTAATTCCGGAGCGAAATGTGGTTGTAGGAAATTTTACGGAACTGTCACGGAATTTTTCCAGAGCGTTCCGTAATTCTTATCTGAAGCTCCTGTGACAAATTGCGATACCGTCACTTAAATTTTTGGAGTCGATTCCGTACATGAAGAGAAATATTCAATAAAAATTACGTTTTTTTTCTCCGTTTACGTTTTTTCTCCGTGCAAAGTTTAAATAATAAAATGATTGGAAAATGTCCGGAAACATAAGGTCAAATGGGGCTCAAATGAAAGTTCTGATGTTGGACTACAAAAGTAGAAAAGCATTTCACTAGCGAAAAAATAGCGAAAATCTTTTTAAAAAAGCATGAGCAATTCCTCGAACGAATGGAGAAAGTAAGGCGGTTCTCATGAGTAGAATCGTCTTGCGTCGAATTTTCATGAAGCCCG